CTCAGTGGTCAGGTCCATGCCTCGATTACGAGCCCATCTATACGTGGCATCCCTCCCCAGATGTCCTGATGTTTCATGGGCCCATCAAGCTACAACAGCTCACCCTTACGTCCCCAGTCCAGGTCCACCTGAGCCACTTCAATTTTTGAAGGTCGGTTCACCTCTTTGTTACTCTGATGTTCTTCAGTGTGATGTTCTTCTCTGCTGGTGTGGCAGGGCACGGGACCTCTGCACCAACTATTCGAATGTTACATATGGAGTGGTAATTCGTGTCGAGAAAATGGTTGATATTAATAAAGAAGGGGGAGATGTGAGAATGTGGCCATGGGGGTTGGAAAGCCCCATGGTTGAGATAACATTAGACTCTTAATGATGAGGCCATCAGGAATGTAAAAGAGTTTAGAGGGAACCAAGAAGGGTGATTCAGGAGACTCCATGCAGTCTCTGGTTTCTTGTTCTCCAGCTGGTCTCTTGTTCTCCAGCCTCTAAACAGGAGCAGTTCTAGATGGTTCTTGAGACAGTTTCTCCATCTTCATTGGGAGTTACCCTTTGTGAGGTGCCCCAAAACTTCTTGCTCCAGTTGGTTTGTACAGTAGTTAGCAGCAACATCTGCTAGTTCAATATAACAATCTAGGTATTCATTAATCAGCATCCCATCTACTAAGATTCTCTTATCTTCCTTTTGAGTCCCCCCTTTTCTAAAAAGTAAGTAAATTCTTTTACTCATAGTAAAGTTTCCCAACTCCTTCGGTAAGAATCTCTTAATGCCACACCGTAAGCCAAAGATACTGAAGTAAGTACAGACAGTCATCACAGTATTTTACAATTCCAAATCAGTAATATGAGTGATAGCACCAGGCTTACCCCAACCAGTATTAGCAAGATAATAATTGGATGACATAGTCTATTTAGGATCCCTGTAGCTGCTGGGGACCATCCTAGGAATGTATTCCACCAGTGATGGTCCCCCTCCTGTTTCACTCTTTGCAAAACTCTATTTATCTCCTTGGTGTCATAATGAACGGTTATTAAAGTCTTTTCACCATTCCCCTGGATATCTTTTAGGATCTTAATTAAATCTTGATGTTTAACCAATTGTCTTACCAACCTGAGATTCATTCCAATAGGTGTTGGTAATAACTTATGATACATGGTATAATTCGCCTTGATCAGCTGGTGGGATACTACCGGTGCTAGATACAGAAAATCACATCCAACAATCCTAACAAAGTTACAAATACAGAAGTTAGAATGATTTCTGAGAGAGAAAAATTCCCTATTTACTACTACAAGAGCGCAAACCGTTCTTAAACACACACAACCCTGCCCAATATATACAAGTATGTTTTTTTGACCAGTATTTGGGTGAATTTCAAAGTGGTAGACACCTTGTTCAGTATCAAGACATACATCCTGTGCATCAATTGTATTGCTTTTGCAGATGAACCCTTGTTGTTCCCGGGTAACACATGATTCCAGATTTACAGTTTGCCATTTCCCATTCACCATTCTTGCCCATGCTCTGAAAGGTAGAGCACCATCTCCTCATGGTTTAATCCCAGTGCTATAATAGGATGAATAACATAAACTGTGTCATTTTGTATAGTAAGCACAAAGGCTGTAGCCATGATAGCAATGGGATCATAGGTAAAATTTACTAGAGTCCACTAGGATTGATATTTCCTCTCAAAATCAGTAACGCTATCCCAAACAACCTTTTGGACTTCAATCGGGAAGACGCTTTCACTCCCTTCTCTAATGATCAGAGCCACTGTTGCCTGCATCTATAACTGTGCTTGTATACAGCTAAGTGCTAAAGATATATTATTTTGAGCTGTGCTGAGTGCATCAATTATTACTCTATGGTCTTGGTCCCTAGTCTCTTCCATCTTCAGTAATACTTTTGACACCTGCCATTGGCTAGTCCCTAATGCTAATAAGGATGACTGTAAGGGCTGTTTTAATTTTGTCAAATCACTTGTGGTAGTAGCCAATTTATTCATTAATATTTCTGAGTCTATTCTGTTTAAGACTCCCAAGCCTTTACCTAGTATCCCAGTCACATCTCTCTTTCCTCTAAGGCACTTCCGTTTTTGTAACCATGCCATCCATCCATCGAATGATGTCTTTAGGAAAGGGGAGCACCTTGTTTGGATCCCTGAGATATTAGTCTGCATTTTTAATTCAACCCTTTTAAGGAATCATTCCGGATTAAATAACAGTAGCTGTTGGTCTGTGTTTCTTACCACATATGGACCAATCCCATAAATTTTATGCCCAGACTTAGCTGGTGCTTCGGGCGGTAGGAGGTTAGTTGAGGTAGTTAATTTGGTTCTAAGATGGGGCCTAGGGGTGGAGAGGCCTTCTGTATTTATCTGAATTTGGAACGTCAACCCGCACCCCAGTCTTTCCCCACACCTCCCTGCCCACATGCACCACACTAAGGTTGGTGATTCTAAGGTGAAATTCAACCAACAATCCCTCCTGGGTTGACACATTTCCTGAGTTTCCTTCCCACCCTCGTTTTTTATTGATATTTCAAAAACTGTTTGGTAGTTGGATACATTAATTAGTCTACAACCTATTTTTATTTCTTGGCCTACTCTTCCACAAAGCTGCGGAAACCCTGTTTTATTATCCCAGCTCCATTCATTTTCTAAATAGACTTTAGTATCGTGCATGACCACCGTTGACAGATTTAACTCCTTGGGTGATGGATATCTATAATATCCATTGGCCTTTTTATATGCCTGAGTCTAAGGCCACCCGTTCTGCCCCTCTTCCCCAAAGACATTCTCTGATCCTTGAATTACCAGTATGATTACCAGCCTTTTTTTTAACACATATCATCCTGAGTATACTCATTTTGTGCGAGCGATCCTTAGTTTCAGCTCGTGATCACCTAGTGTTACTTTCCAAGGGGTCTCTGGAGCTTTCTTCACTCGAGAATGGTGGATCCAAGAACTTTGTTCTCTGATCTTTATTGCAGTGTAAGTGGTAAGGAGTACCTGGTATGGTCCCTCCCACTGAGGTTCCAAAGTCTTTTCTGCAAGAGACTTAACATACACATAATCCCCAGGCTGTATATTATGCACAGGTCCATCCAACTCTCAACTCTGAGTTCCAGCCATATGTTTTTCTATTTCTCTGAGTTGTTTACTCAAGGCCACCAAATAAGTAGTTAGTATCTCTTCCCCAATCTGGGAAGATATTCCTTTCTGGGCCCCTTACGGTCTCCCGTATAGCATTTCAAACTTAATCTTTCTTTAGTTCGGGGTTTAGTCCGAATCCGCAACAATGCTAGCAGGAGAGCTTGGGGCCAGGGTAAGTTAGCTTCTTGCCCTAACCTTACTGTTATAAATGATGAGAACTGCTTTGTATCAAAATTGCCTAGCTTTGGATTATTTACTAGCACAAGAAGGAGAAGTCTGTGGAAAATTTAGCTTTAGTAATTGCTGTTTAAAGATTGATAAAAAGGGTGTTTCTTCCTAGTAGCTGATAGAATGTTATGTTCTGGTTTAGGATGAGAAGAATGTTAATAATATGCTGATGTTTTAATTGTTTTTAATTGTTACAGAGCAGTGCTTACACCAAGCCAAGGACCAAGCCAAATTCAGCTTCTCACTGTCCTGCCAGCAGGCAGGCTGGGAGGAGGGCCGGACTGCTCGGGGTTAGGTTGGGCATCGGACAGCAGGTGGTGAGCAATTGCATTGTGCATCAATTGTTTCGTACACATTATTACTAGTAGTACTATTATCATCATTATTATTATTATTATTATTGTTATTATCTTCTTGTTTTTATCTCAACTCACAGGCTTCACTTTCCCATTTCACTCTCCCATCCCAGAGAAGGAGGGGGGGGAGGTGAGCAAGCAAACACAAACCTGGAAGGATATGGAATGGGATTTATTTCCATGGCTGCCTGGTGGACCATGGGTTAAAAGAGTGTTATTTTTATTGTTATGTGGTGTAAAGATGTTATTGTTTATACCTTGTATGATACCTTGTCTTACATTATTAATACACCGGGTGATAAATAGTACATTGGTAATAACTTCATTAAAAAAGGAAGGGAATATGTCAATTATGATGTTTAAGAATTGGACCCTCCAAGAACAAACTGATGAAATCCAATTATTAATAACAGAAGAGACACGAATTGTTGATATTAAAAAGAAGATAAGGGATTGTGAGGAATGTGTTAACAATTCGTGTCCATAAAGAACAATTCTGTTTGAATCCTGTCTGCCTCTGGGCCCTGCACTGGCAATTTAATTCTTGAACCACAGATGCAGTGTGCCCCAGTCTCCCCCTCATTCTAGTCAATTTATCAAGTCTTCAGAAAACACTCCTTAAATTTATGAACCTGTTTGCTTTTGTTATTCCGGACTTCTATTTCTAACAGTTACAGCCTTTTTTTTTCCTGTCTTCTTCGAGATTAACTTAACACTGCTATAGATGTGTCTGTGAATGGCTGGGGAAGAATGTTTTAATTACTCGTGAAGCGTCAAATAAGAAAGCTATTTGTGTTTGATGTCTGGGAGTTTCAGAACAACTGATAATAACTAGTGACTGTTATGGGATACTATGCGGATATTTGGTATCTGGCCAGGGGGCCAAGAGATTTAGAGGAAGGAAAAAGAAGCTGAAGGACGGCTGGGAGACAAGACCTGCAGAAAGTGTTCTATAAACTTGGAATGGTGCCGAGTGAGTACAAAGGTGAGAGGAAGACTATGAGCCTTCAGCATGAAAGACCCCTAGAGACCCCCAGAGGAGACTGATGCGCATGCTCCAGTAGGAGGGACTGGACCCCGGAAGCTAATTATAATAATTATGTTTTTTAGAAGTAGTAATGAATATGTATTAGTCTAGGAGCATAAAAATCAGCTGCTTGATGTAACTGGTGTGTGTCCTGGTGGAGCGGAGACTCCCGGTGCACCCGGCGCTGTTTGCTTACCTCTATTCCTTTATATTCTTTTAATAAATCCTATTTTTTTATTTAATCCTAATTTGAATCCTGAGCCATTTATAACACTTACAATTTGTTGTTGTATTAAATGGTTCATTTTCTCCACTTGACCACTCGATTGGGGGTGGTATGGAGTGTGGAGTTCCCAATTATCCCCAAATGTCTACTAATTTGCTGTACTATTTTTGAGATAAAGTGTGGCCCTCTATCTGAGGACATGGTGGCTGGAACTCCAAAATGTGGTATTATTTCCTGTAACAACACCTTGGTTACCTCTCGGGCTTTGGCAGTCCTGGTGGGGAAGGCCTCTGGCCATCCTGAAAAAGTATGTTAATACTAGTAAATATCGATACCTCCCCTTCTCTTGGGAGTTCTTGTGGGGTTACTCTGGGTCGTGCCTGCGTGCACGAGGGGAAGGGTCTGGGGTGCCTGCGAGCACAGTGGGAGGGGTCCTGGGTTCCTGGGTGGGATGCTTTTGCGCTATATAAGATACTGTCACGTAGCAATAAATTGGGCTTACGGCACAGAACGCTGGTCGTTGTGTCCGTTTGTCCCAGGGCCTTTCAATCGGGTTATCCGACATTTGGTGACCCCGACGTGATACGATTCTCAACGTGAAACCGGTTGGCGCGAGTTAGGCGTGGCGCGAGTTAGGCATGGTGCATGCGTGCTAGGTACACGGGTGGCCATGGGACCTGGAGTTGATGAGGTGGTGAGTACTGTTAAATCCTTGGCCAAGGAAGTAGGGCTAACACTACGAAAGAAGGACGTACAGTCCCTCTTGCTCTGGGTGACACACCGGAATCTGGCAGAGTCTCCTGTCCATTGCTTGAGACAGACCGTTTTAGAACGGGACAGGATTTATTTGATAGCGCCTGCATCGGGAACAAAGAGGCGCTGACTTTATTTCTGACGTTTGGGTCGGTGCGAGCGGTTTTGGAAAAGGTAGCCAACGAGGCATGCCTGTGGGCTACTGTGCGCCGCATGCTTTTGTTGGATGGGGACAGTGAGGATAAGCTGGCCCCTATGGAGCTTCCGGTAAAAAACAATCTAGAGGAGGGGACAGGGCAGGCGAAGGAGGAGGCTCAATCGGGAGATGAAAATAATGTGGAGCAGGAGAAAGAAGAAGGTGGGAACCCCCTTGTGGCCCCCCTGCGAGTTCGGCTAGATCATGAAAAAATAGCAGTGCCTAGTGCTCCCCCGGCAGACAGAAACGCGGTACATACTTCATCAGACGGGTCCTTTTGGTGGGTAAATAAGAAGGGCTCCCTTATCCTATTCCCTGCTGGGGGTCCTGAAGGGGTAGGGGTGGCATCCGGGCAGGCGCCGGCGTTTTCGGGCTCCCTCTGGCGGCCGCTGTATGCCCCTCCGGCGTTTGACCCTGGAGAGCGGGAGGGGGGGCAAGCACGGGTGGAGTCTTTTTCAGAGAAGCCCCTGCCATCGTCCGTGTGTTGCATTCCCTTTCCGTCGGGTGCTGCGCCCCGAGAGAGAGAACGAGTAGATAGTGAGAGTTCAACAGATGAGGAGCCTCGAGATCCTAGACAGGCTACTTTGCGGCAGCCGATGCACATCCGCGAGGAGGTACGAAAGGCAAGGGAAAAATGGACTATTAGTGCGCGAGAATGTCTTCTCTCGGGTTGTGAAATAACGCCAAGTCCTGTGTGGATAGGGTGCTTTCCTGTTTTCACGGGGTCTCAGGGACATCAGTGGCAGCCGGTAGACTATAAGATGCTGCTACAGTTAAAAAAGGCTGTACAGGAGGGTGGATTCTCTAGCCCACAGACACAGGTTTTGTTGGATGCGGTGGCTTTGCAAGGGCCCCTGATGTTTGACTGGCAGCAGGTTGCCCGAGCCTGCCTGACGGCAGCGCAGGTACCCATGTTTGAGTCTTTGCTGGAAGAGGAGGGTGAAGTCTTGATGGTGCGTGCATGGGCGAACCCCCAGGATCCTTTACATGGTATGTCTGGGGAAGCGTTGTTGGGACGAGGGCAGTGGAATACTCCGCAGGAACAATTATTGCTGCCACAAGCTGTGCTTATTGCTGCCGCCGATTTGGGTCGTAGGGCATTAGAGCGGATGAATGCTGTAGTCAGCCCGACTCCCAGTTATCTGCATATTCGGCAAAAACCTGAGGAACATTTTGGGCGCTTTGCAGACAGGGTGCAGACAGCTGTGGCAAGCAGTAATTTAAGAGCTCCTGTTCTTTAAGAACAGGAGCTCTGCCTGAATTCAAAGCCGCTCTTGCAGCGCTTCCGGCTTCAGCAAGCGCGGGCGAGCTGATCGCTCGTGGCTGTGCGTTTGGCAAGGCTCAGGAAATGCAACCTCTTGCTGCTGCCCTCAGTGAGCAGATGGCGGGAGTCACATCTGCCTTCCAGGCATTTGCCCTCCACATGCATCCTGGTGGTTGTTTTCGCTGCGGTCAGCATGGTCACGTAGCTCGTGAATGTCCCAAGAAAAGGGAACCTGTGGTCGAAGTCACCCGTGTTCGTTGTTGGGTGTGTGGGCAGTCTGGCCATCATGCTCAGGAATGCTCACAACGCAAAGGGGAAGTGAAAGAGGGAAAAAGGGATGAGCAGTCAGGAAACGCCAACGCCGGGACGAAAAGGGACCCGCCATCTTGGCCACAAGCGTGGGTCCCAACCCCCATCAAGCAGGGGTGGACAAGTCCGCCGTCCAGTCTCAGGACGGAAAACGAGTGGTAAATACAGAAGCTTGGCTTGCGGGTGTGCGGGTGGTGGAGCAAGGAGTAGAAATTCCCGTGCAGCTGCGGACTGCCACAACTGAGCCCACTGTGTTTCCTCTGGTAAATGAAAGTGATGATGGGCCCTCTAGCGCAGATTATCCCCTGATACAAGTTAGCTTGGACATGGGCTCTCGGCCAACCTTGCCTGCCCGAGTAGCTATTCAAGGTGTGAAGGATCTATTTCCACCAGTAGCCACTATAACCTTTTTAGTGGACTCTGGTGCAGATGTCACCTCCATTTCCGCCGCACACTGGCCTTCACAATGGCCGCTAGATCCGCTGCCACGAGCGGTCAGTGGGGTGGGTGGTTTGGTGGAAGGTCATCGCAGCCGTCATCCAGTATTGATTCGCTGGGATGATGCTGGTGTCCGGCGGGAGGTGGGGCCCCTCAGACCTTATGTTCTAGATATTCCTATATCTCTGTTAGGTCATGATGCATTAGTGTTAGCAGGAGCTCGCTTACATATTGAACCTTCACAGCAGGTTTTATACAGGGGGCCACTGGGGAGCCGCGCCCCTGTTGGCGTTTAACGTGGCGGTCGGATGACCCCATATGGGTTGCCCAGTGGCCCATCACAAAGGAGAAGCTTATCGCTCTGCATGAACTCGTCAAACAAGAAGTGCAGCAAGGACATCTCGTTCCATCAACTAGCCCTTGGAATTCCCCTGTATTTGTAATTAAGAAAAAATCTGGGAAATGGTGCTTTTTACATGATTTACGCGCGGTTAACGCCTCGATGGAGGACATGGGGCCTTTACAGCCTGGGTTGCCATTACCTACTATGATCCCTAGAGATTGGCAATGTATGATTATAGATTTAAAAGATTGTTTTTTCAGCATACCTCTGCATCCTGATGACACCAAGCGTTTTGCTCTAACCATTCCATCGTTGAACAATACGCAGCCAGCAGCCCGGTACGAGTGGGTTGTCCTCCCTCAAGGTATGAAATATTCCCCTACGATTTGTCAGATGTATGTGGCCAAAGCCCTTGAGGTGGTTCGTCAGCAGCACCCCACTATCTTGGTTGTCCATTATATGGATGACCTGTTGCTTGCTGCCCCCGTACTGCCTCTGTGTCTGTATGATCAAATAGAGGCCACTTTATTGGGATTTGGTTTGACCATCGGGAAAGATAAAACTCAGCTAGTGTCTCCATACAAATATCTGGGGACTCAGCTTACAGAACGCCTTGTGCGACCTCAAAAATTGTTAGTCACAGAGAATTCGGTTACTAACTTGCATCAGTTACAAGTGTTGGTTGGCGCCCTGCAGTGGCTCCGTCAATTTGTTCCGCTGCCCCCTGACGAGATACAATTATTTACTGATCAGTTACGGGGCGACACTGACCTGACAGCCCCACACCAGCTGTCTTCCCAACATCAGCACATATTAGAGCGCTTTATGCAACGTCTCCAAAAGCAAGGCTTATGGCGTCACGATGCCGCGCAACCCTTACTTGCACACATCCTTTTGCAGGTACAGGGAGCTATTATTATTCTACATCAGGGCCAGCTGCAGCGCCCACTGCTTTTTGGCTACGTGTCTGTGCCCCGCATTGCGTTTCCACAATGGGATGAACTCCTTGCCCTCGCTATAGAGTGGGCTCGAACAAAGCGACTCCTGCTTGTCTTTGCCTTGTGCCCTGAAGTGTATGGGGGCTACTGGCAGGAGTATGCTGTGGGCTACCGGACCGCTCCGCTGTTTCCAACGCCATACGCTTACAACCTACGGTCTGCTGAGCCAGTACCCAACGGGACACTTCGTGGGCTGTTCCCACCTGTTACTTGCCGGGGAAGGAAGCTGACTACCATCCGTATCAATGCCACCGTGCAGACAGGTATCAATCTGACACATGAAACACTCTTGTCATCGGACAGCACCACGCATGCGACGGAGGACGGAAAAGAAACCGTTCTGCCGGTGGCGCAATTGTGCGGCTCCATTGACATTTGGGACAATGGGACAATAGCGGATGTGACCGTTCCGCCGTGGACAGTTAAGACCATGGTGCGCAATCAGTCGGTGGCCTGGTTGTGGGTGGGGCCACCGGGCCAAGCTCCTGCACCAGTGGACTTTTTCCCTGGGGATGTTTGGACTGTAAATAGCCATGCGACGGCCCCTTATCAATCGGTCCGCGTCGTACAAGTTTCGAACTCTGCTCATTGGCGTTTACCTAACCCCTATTGGTTGCTCCGTTCTCAGAAACGTACTTGGAAGGTGATCCCAGCTAACAGGACACTTGGTTTGTGCTCTATGGGTCTGCTATTGTGGCCGCATCGCACTGCTCGCAGCCCTCGAGCAACCCGAAGAGTCTGTAAAATTCCGGTGTTGTTAAAAATGAGAGATAAAAGGTCCGCTCAGTACACACAGCAAGCAAGGAGCAATCAAGAGGAAAATTTAATGATAGGGTTAATTAGAGATTTCGCAAAAATGCAGAATGTGAGTCAAGTGACCGCTTGTTTACCTATACCTAAATCCGCAGGTGGTCCTATACCCTGGGGCATAATCACATCATCGATACCCCAGATTGAGAAAAACAAAACAGTCCAATGTGAATCGGAAACAATCATAGAGACAGAAATGCTGGGAGGGTTTTATAGAGAGTGTCAGATTCGCCTTTATCCTTGGTGTAAAAAGGAAAGAAATTACATATTTACGGACCTAGACAACGAGGATGGACGACTAGGGATGTGTGAGTATGATGCACCACACACACGACAAAAGGAAAAGGTTATATGGAAGTGCAAAGAAGCTAATAAGATAGGTGGATTAGAGGGTTGGGAGTCAGCATGGGCATTAAGTATACTGCAGAAATACCAATATGGGGGGAATACTCCTTGGTGTTTGCAATGGGTAGGAAGGACGAATAGTGACCAGAGTTTACTATATGAGATGGCTCAGAGGGAAACTAGTAGTCGGGAGAGGGTAAAGGCAGTCCCGTGGTGGAATTGTACACAAATATTCAATTGTGACACTGCTTTAGAAACAATATCTCTGCTCCCGGTAAAGATAGCCTTAGACACCGGATGTGCATGCAGAGGTCTACAAGTTAACATGAGTATCACCAATCTGAATATAGCCAGCCAGACTGGTAGGGAAAAGATCTTAGTGAATTGTAAATCTTCAACTATACGAAGCATGGGACATTTTGTGTGGGCCGCCAGTGATGGAACTTGGACAACTCATTTAAGTTTGGATGGCCCAGTAAAAGAAATAACTTTAGGATTGCCCACTCTTTGCCCACTTTGGAAGAAATCCTCTCTCATAAGGAGAAGGACAAAAAGAGAAGTAAGTGAAGAAAATGATGAGTGGCAGGAACCGTCCACTGGGATTAGATTTGGATGGATGGCAGAATCGTTGTTTGCCCCGATAGCTTCCTACCACAACAGAGAGCTGATTTACAATTTGATGGGGCAAGTACATAGATTGGCCAGCATTACCAGAAAGGGGTTTAAGGACTTGAATATACAGTTACAAGCCACAACAGGAATGACCCTGCAGAATAGGTTGGCCCTGGATATGCTTTTGTTAAAAGAACATGGTGTCTGTGGATACCTGAAAGAAAAGGCTGACCATTGCTGTATACACATTCCGAATGTAACTGCCGATATAGAACGTGACATATCCCAAATAGCCCAGGTAGAATCCAAAATAAAAGAAGAGCAGCGTGACGCAGAACAGAATTGGCTGGGGGCAACTCTCGAGGGGCTAGGCCTTCATCTAGAAGGATGGCTTAAATCGCTTTTGCAAACAATATTGCTACTAGTAATAGTATTCATTGTGATAGGGCTAGTATATTCATGTATAAAAGCAAAAATAGCTAGAAGTAGTATCACAGCATGCTGACCATTCTCGCCAAAAATCATGAGGAGTTCCCATTATCACCACTTGCTCCTGGGATGGACACTCGTCCCTAAGCAGTTATGATTAAATCACGCTTAGCGTAACGGGTTAAAGGGGGTACGTTACTGCATAAAGAGGGGGGAGATGTGGGGTTACTCTGGGTCGTGCCTGCGTGCACAAGGGGAAGGGTCTGGGGTGCCTGCGAGCACAGTGGGAGGGGTCCTGGGTTCCTGGGTGGGACGCTTTTGCGCTATATAAGATACTGTCACGTAGCAATAAATTGGGCTTACGGCACAGAACGCTGGTCGTTGTGTCCATTTGTCCCAGGGCCTTTCGATCGGGTTATCTAACAGTTCTGAAAAGTCGATCTGCCACTGTTGGCCAGGCCCATGGCCTTTCCCAATTTGACCCATCTTTGTCTTAGGAGTATTCTTGGGATTAGTCTGGAGGCACAGGTCATGTTGCCGAGTTACCTGGGTGATTGTGGCATATAAATTCCTAGCAATGATTTTCCCATTTAGATAGTTATATAAGGCGTCAATTCCCCAATGTGTTTTTCCGTGTTCCTCCCTCACCAGTGATCACAATAGATTGGAGGGGATGACTAGCTTTCCTTCCTCAGTAATAGCCCATCCCTCCTGATTATACTTTCTTTTTTGGCCTTCAATTAATTTCCTGTCCTTTTTGTTATATACAGGCTTATCTTTGAGGGGAATCTCTCCGTCTGGGATCAGAGCTCCCTCAGTTGCTACTTCGCCTTTCCGTGCTTCTTCTGCCTCTCTGCCTACCAGATCGTTTCCTTCTTCCAATTCCGAGCTCACCTTCTGGTGTGCTCTAATATGCATGATTGCTACCTTTTCAGGCAGCTGAACTTCTTCCAATAATCGCATTATTTCTTTTGCACATTTAATATTCTTTTCTTGCGAGTTCAACAATCCTCTTTCTTTCCAGACGGCCCCATGTGCGTGCACAACCCCAAATGCATTATCTCAAGTCTGTGTAGATATTTACTTTCTTTCCTTCTGCTATTTCTAAGGCACGAGTCAGAGCTATTATCTCGGCCTTTTGTGCCGAGGTATTTGTTGGCAAAGGTCCATATTCTATTACCTCTTTACAAGTGGTAACTGCATACCCAGCATGTCATTTCCTGTTGATAATGTAGCTGCTCCCATCAGTGAACCATGTTTCCACATCGTCCAAAGGGGTATCCTTCAGATCTGGACGGCTGGAGTAAGTAGCTTCGATGGTCTCCAGGCAGTCGTGGTGTACTGGTTCTCCTTGGTTTCCGCTGAGGAAAGAGGCTGGATTGGCAATGCTAGTTACCACTATTTCTACATCATCTTGTTCCACCATGATAGCCTGGTATTTCAAAAATCTTTGTGGGGAAAGCCAGTGGCTACCTTTCACTTCTAATGCCGCAGATACTGTGTGAGAAACTAGCACAGTTATTTTCTGGCCCAAGGTAAACTTGTACGCCTCCTGGATATTTAGTACCACTGCCGCAACGGCTCTGAGGCATCCCAGCCATCCCTTGGCAGTGGCATCCAACTGTTTAGAAAAATAAGCAACTGCCCTGCCATATGCTCCCAGGTTTTCTGCTAATATTCCTAGAGCAATACCCTGTTTTTCATGAGAAAAGAGGAAGAATGGTTTACTCACGTCTGGGAATCCCAGGCCTGGAAGAGACATGAGAGACTTCTTTAGTTGGTCCAAGGCTTGCATGGCTTCCTTTGTCCATTGGAGGTCCCTGTTCCCATTGGTGATGAGTGCATACAGTGGTTTCACGAGCAGTCCATAATTATAAATCCACAACCTGCACGACACCGTCATTCCCAGAAAAGTTTGCAGTTCTTTTATTGTCTCAGGTCTTGGGGTTTGACATATCGCTTCTTTGCAGTCCTGCCCCAAGTCCGCTGCCCCGCACTAACCTCATAACCTAGGTAGATCACTTTTTACTTTACCACCTGAGCCTTCTTCTTTGAGACCCGGTACCCCTGGAGTACCAGAAAGTTTAACAAGCTTACCATCCTAGTCATACAAACTTTTTTTGTCTGGGTGGCTATTAGGATGTCATTTACGTATTGCAGCAACCTCCCTTCGCCGGGTAGAGCTTCCCATACTTCCAAATCCTTTGCAAGTTGTTCTCCAAATAGGGTGGGTGAGTTCTTAAAGCCTTGGGGCAGCCTTGTCCATGTGAGCTGCATTTTGTGCCCGCTTTTAGGGCTTTCCCATTCAAATGGGAAAATTTTCTGGCTGGCTTCATGGAGAGGGAGGCAAAAGAAGGCATACTTGAGGTTTAAAACTGTAAACCAAGTTAGTTCTGGTGTTAACAACAGGTACACAGGTCCTTTGGATTGCCAGAAATAATTTACCGTCTGCAAAAGCAAGTTAGCATGCATGAAATACACAGGTGTACAGCCTGGAAATTAACGCATTATAAAGGCACAAAGACTCTATAGAGATTTCCAAGTTTCCGTGGAGACACACAGTATAACCAAGTGTTCAAATCTCACCCAAAGGTGTCCCAATGAGGGGAGGAAGAGAGGCTCAGCCTGTCACTGATCCCAGGAGTCAGGAGGTCCTCGAGATGTGTATTCCCTCAGGATGGTATCTCCCCTGACGGTGGTACCTTTCCTGACGGTGGTATCTTCCCTAACATCCCCTCTCTCTTAGACCAATTTATATTATTTTCTATCTTTTAGGTGGAGCTTTAGTGATCTAGTCAAGCATATACTAGTTATGATTGGTGAAAAGTTTTCCTGTCTCTTGCAGGAAGAATGGCCGAAAACACAACAGACAGCAGTATGGTCAGATCATGCTCTCCCTTTATTACCCGAATAGCTTGACTTTTATAGCAAACTTAACAGGGGCGGATAGTGTCTCACACAAGATTATTGGTCAAAAGCACTCAGACAAACAACTCTTTCAGGAAAGTAATGGATTTGTGAATTGACTCACTATGATCAGAAAGGTTCAAACAGCACATTCCCTCAAAGTCCTCACACCCATGCCCTTGAGCCAAGAGCAAGAAGTCAATAGCAGCTTGATCCTGTAAAAGCGCATGTCGCAGACTATTTTATGACAGATAATAATAGGGCAGGCCAAGGATGTAGCATGCCTATGCCCTTCTATGATGGCATCACGTATGACGTTGGAGCACCTGTCCCTCCTTGGTGCAGACGGTGTTGTAGCGACGGATAATGAGGGATTCGGCTCTGGTGGGGCAGACAAGAGAGAAGGCTCCTCCGAATCCTTAATTTTTAAGTTCTCCAATTTCACTAGCAGTTCTTGGAACAACTCCTCCTCTGAAGGTCGATTTTCGCAAGCTGCTGCCGCACCTCTCATTGGCGAAGCATCCCGAGTGTATTTATTGCTGCCTGGCATCGGCACAGATGCTGGCAGCGCAGCTTCAAGATTTACCAGCGCAGGGGGTGGGGAGGGCAACCCTTACTCCCCATCAGCACTCTGCTCCGATAGTCCCTTAGTTATTTCTGCCGCTGATTCTTTTATTGGAGAGATCATACCCCAAACCGGGGTGGGTGCAGGAATCGTCGAAAAGAATCGTGCCAGCCACGTTCCTGAGGTCTCAGGTTTTGCACTCGGCGTTCTGTCAGTCCCAGACGGTACTGACAAAACTTGCGCCGCCGCCATCTCCAGCTGCTGTTTGGTTTTCATACCGCACAGCACATTAATCACTGTGCGCCACGTCCCACTTACATCTTTATCTAGCTTTCCACTTGAGATGGCTTTATCCCATAAGTGATCTCCTATGTACTGCCACTCATCTGGGCTAAACATTAGAGGGACTTTCTTCAGAAAACCCTCCTTCTGAGCCCAGTGCACCAAGGATTTGATCTTTTTTTACATTGCAAGGTACACCTGTGTTAGCCAGACCCAGTACAACCTCCACCCCTTATTCCATAACATTTGTGTCACTCTCAGATCTCCCATACTTTAGCATGTAAGTATTCTCATCACCATTATTCCTTGTCCCTTAACAGGTTAATAGGCAGGTATATCTTTTCATTCTATCGGTCTTTCTCAGAAAATGTTCATAAGAACTGTTGACTTCATCTGCCAAAGTGGTCGCTCAGGGTAGGCGAAGTTGGATGTCTGGACGCCAGCACCAGCTTAGCTCAAGTCCTTGTTGCACTGCCTGGCTCCTTGCAAAGTTGACCTGTCGCTGATCCTGCAGCATCTTCCTACAACATATAACTTAGATTACAGATTAGTTTTCTCTCAAGGTTAAATCTCTTTGAGGCACACACCTGATATCCCCATTCTCTTGCATTACCCACCAGGTATACCCCGGTCCTTTGCCAAAGACAATCCCACGAGTGGGTTTGCCTTTTCCTGAGGCAGGAGCAACCCACACCACCTTCTCCATCCACTTCCCTACATGCACTACAGGGACTTTAGCTCCTTTCACCGTGTGCAGGGGTTTTGTTTCGGCAGGACCAGCACGGCTGTCAGATCCCCTATTGTTAACTAGACAAGTGGCCTCTGGTAGATTTATGTCCCACTGTTTCCGTGTCCCAGCACCCAATGCTCGTAGCATAGTCTTTAACAGTCCTTTATACCTCTCAACCAGAGGCTTGTGGGTGGTAAGGAATGTGATACACCCACTCAATGCCATGCCTCTTGGCTCAGGAGGTGACAAGATTGTTTCGGAAATGACTCCTATTGTCAGACTCAATTCTCTCTGGTGAGCCATGACGTCACAGCACTTGCCTTTCTAGGCCCAAGATAGTGTTTTGGGCTGTGGCATGGTTTACAGGGTATGTTTCCAGCCACCCAGTAGTTGCTTCTACCATGGTGAGTATGTACCGTTTGCCTTGGTGGGTTTGTGGGAGTGGTCTGATATAGTCAATTTGCCAGGCCTCACCATATTGAAACCCTAGCCACCTCCCCCTGTTCCATGGAGATTTTACCTTCATGGCTTTCTGTGTTGGGCCTGTGACACTTTCTTGATTGCAGCACAGGTCTCACACTCATGGGTAACCTGTGTGATGGCTTCAATGGTCAAGTCCACCCCTCGATCACGAGCCCATCTGTAAGTGGCATCCCTCCCCAGATGTCCTGATGTTTCATGGGCCCATCGAGCTACAAACAGCTCACCCTTACGTTCCCAGTCTAGGTCCACCTGAGCCACTTCAATTTTCGAAGCTCGATCCACTTCTTCGTTGTTCTGATGTTCTACAGTAGCGCGACTCTTGGGCATGTGGGCATCTACATGACGTACTTTAACATCCAGGTTTCCTACCCGGGCAGCAATATCTTGCCACAGGGTAGCAGCCCA